TGGCCTCTTTCTCCTGGCGCATGAGAAGCCTACGATGGGCAGCCCTGGGTGATCGTAGTGTGCCGAGCATTAAGACAGCCACGTGCATCACCTGCAAACCCTGCACGTTCAGAGTCAGTTCGTTCTCCCATCAACACTGATTTCCCTGCCTAACTACTCCTTGCCTCTCGCAGTTCTCAGTCCTCTTCAGCTCTGTCAGTTCCCCTTGTGCTACACTAATTCACATCTTTCTGCCTCTCATGATTCTGTTCCTGCCGGCTAGAACTTCCTACCCTCTTTTCTCTCTCAGATGAGACCCAAAATATCATCTTGGTAGAACCTAGTAAGGTGATTAAGATATCATTACGTCTGCAGATGAGTCAAAAGAAGGCATGTTTACTCAGTGTTAGAGCATTTGGGGAAAAAATATAATATATTCTCTAAATCATGGGTCAGCAAACTATGGCCCACAGGCCAAAGCAAGCCCTACCGCCTATTTTGTAATTTATTGGAACACAGCCATGTGCATTTGTTTATATATCGTACCATCTTGCTGCCTATGCATTGTATTATCATGCTACCTTATGGCCTGCAAAGCCAAAAATATTTACTTTTTGGCCCATTACAGAAAACATGTGGCAGCCCTTACTCTAAATGAACACTTGTTAAACCAGAGTATGCCAGGAGTTTTCCCTAGGCTTCGACTGATCTTTCTGTATCAGGCCAGGCCTATTCGAACAAGAGCTAAGAACACATTTTCTGAAGCCTGATTTTTTTATATGTTCATAACCAGAGGCAGATGATAAGCAGTGAACATTTTATCAAGTTTAGTTGTTTTCTACGTAAGCACAGTATATTTTTTATTTGTAGCACTTGGAACTTAGAGATGAGGCATCAGGTAGTTCACGTTAAAGTTTTTTTTTTTTTTTTTTTGCACTCCTGCATTTTCTGAAATCTTTAATGCCGGAGAATTTGATGCAGACCTTTTTCTCTGGCTAAAAATGGAATCTTCCTTGTTCCCCCAACTTTATAAATGGTAGTAATTTCCCAACACTTCACTTTGTAGGAAGATTAAAATGATGCTTCACTTATATTCTCTGCCACCTCTTCCCCCAAAAGAGTGTTTGTTTTATTTTGACCAAGAAAAACAATATTCCCTTTCCTACTATTTAGATCATGCTTTTAATTAATATTTAGAAATTTTGAAGTAGTGTCTTAAAACTCATTTCAGACTTTGGCTCATCACTTACTAGTAATAAAGGTTGAAATGCAACAGATGGTGAATAGGAAGAATGACTATATCTTCATCTTGTGTCTCCAAATGCTCCCCCTTGCGTAAAATCTCACCTACAGCTGTATACCTTCTCCTCCATGAGAATTTCAGTGACAGCACTCATCCACAAATTCCAACATCCATTCTAAAGGGAAGAATTGAAAAAAGAAAGGAGAGTTGGAAGTAGTTCAGGGGGCTAAAGCTTATTCTGGAATCCATGTAGAAATGTTTGCAATTAAGGTTTGGGAGTGGTAAAAGAAGCTAAGGAGTAATAATAATGATAGCCCTGTGCTAGTAATTGCTCCCTAAATCTGAGAGCTGACGCTGCAATCCTAGCCTTGATATAAAGGTAATTATAGAGCTAAGACTGTCCTGGTGATGTATTGGACACAGAAAAGCACTTTAAGAAATATTGTTAAAAATAGGCTAAATGAACAAAGTTAACCCAAGAATCTGGCAGTATTCTACCAGAATTTTAAATGCCTTCTTTCTTTGGCCCAGCAATCCTACTCTGGAACTCTGTCCTACAGATACAACTGTTCATGTATGAAATTACATGTTCAAGTTTCTTTGGTGCAGCATTGGTTATGGCAAAAGATTAGACACAATCCAAGTGTCCAGCAGTAAAGGACTGGATCATAAAATCAGAAAGGCATTGAAGGTTGAACCAGATGAAAGCATGTCCTTTGACATGTGTATTATCTACAAAATAACATTGAAAATGCACGAAAAGGAGACCCTAAAAGTTGCTAACACAGGATGGTAAAAGGGAAATAATTGTACATTACCAAATTTTACTATGTTATAAAATAACAGATTTTAAAAAGTACTTCATCATTTATTTTAACACATTAAAACTGTGTAGGAGCTTGTATATATTCCGTTGTTTTGATTCCCATACACATTCGATTTCCGCTCCTATATGAACCGAACATACTATTGAGGAGGTGTTCAGGCATGGCCCAGTAAGAACTACTCTAGGGGCTTCCCTGGTGGCACAGTGGTTAAGAATCTGCCTGCCAATGCAGGTGACACGGGTTCAAGCCCTGGTCCAGGAAGATCCCACATGCTGCAGAGCAACTAAGCCCGTGTGCCACAACTACTGAGCCTGCGCTCTAGAGCCCGCTAGCCACAGCTACCGAGCCCAAGTACCACAGCTACCGAGCCCACATGCCACAACTACTGAAGCCCACGCACCTAGAGCTCGTGCTCTGCAACAAGAGAAGCCACCAACAAGAGAAGCCCGCGCACCACAGGGAAGAGTAACCCCTGCTCACCACAACTAGAGAAAGCCCGCATGCAGCAACGAAGACCCAACGTAGCCAAAAATTAATTAATTAAGTTTTAAAAAATAACTACTCTAATTGACTCTTAGAGTTTATTCATCTTTGAGGTAAGGGCAGGATGATTAGGACAAAAGTTAATTAGTGCATTTCTTACAAAAATGTATTTCCACAGAGAAACAGCAATTTAAATTCTTTTTGACTTTTATACCCCCCAACTTTTTTTTTTTTTTATTGAAGTATAGTTGATTTACAATGTTGAGTTAGTTTCTGGTGTACAGCAAAGCGATTCAGTTATACAAATATATATACTCTTTTTCATATTCTTTTCCATTATGGTTTATTACAGGATATTGAATATAGTTCTCCGTGCTGTACAGAAGACCATGTTGTTTATCTATTTTATATATAGTTGTTTGTATCAGCTAATCCGAAACTCCGAATTTATCCCTCCCACACCCCCTTTCCCCTTTGGTAACCATAAGTTTGTTTTCTGTGTCTGTGAGTCTGTTTCTATTTTGTAAATAAGTTCATTTGTATCATATTTTAGATTGCACATATAAGTGATATCATACAGTATTTGACTTTCTGGCTTAATTTAGTATGATAATCTCTAGGTGCATCCATGTTACTGCAGATGGCATTATTTCATTCTTTTTTATGGCTAAGTAGTATTCCATTGTGTGTGTGTGTGTGTGTGTGTGTATACAGCACATCTTTTTATCCATTCATCTGTGAATGGGCATTTAGGTTTCTTCCATGTCTTGGCTCCTGTAAACAGTGCTGCTATGAACGTGGGGGTGCATGTATCCTTTCAAACCATGGGTTTCCCCGGATATATGCCCAGGAGTGGGATTGCTGGGTCGTATGGTACTTCTCTTTTTAGTTTTTTAAGGAACCTCCACACTGTTCTCCATAGTGGCTGCACCAATTTACATTCCCACCAGCAGTGCAGGAGGGTTCCCTTTTCTCCACACCCTCTCCAGCATTTATTATTTGTAGACATTTTAATGATGTGGCCATTCTGACTTGTGCAAGGTTGTACCTCACTGTAGTTCTGAATCCATTTCTCTGATAATTAGCGATGAGCATGTTTCCATGTGCCTATTGGCCATCTGTATATCTTCTTTGGAGAAATGTCTATTTAGGTCTTCTAACCATTTTTTTTTTTTTTTTTGCGGTACGCGGGCCTCTCACTGTTGTGGCCTCTCCCGTTCCGGAGCACAGGCTCCAGACACGCAGGCTCAGCAGCCATGGCTCACGGGCCTAGCCGCTCCGCGGCATGTGGGATCTTCCCGGACCGGGGCATGAACCCGTGTCCCCTGCATCTGCAGGCGGACTCTCAACCACTGCGCCACCAGGGAAGCCCCTTCTGCCCATTTTTTGAGTGGGTTGTTTTTTTGTTATTGAGTTGTATGAGCTGTTTGTATATTTTGGAAATTGAGCTCTTGTCAGTTGCATCATTTGCAAATATTTTCTCCCATTCTGTAGGTTGTCTTTTTTTTTTTTCTTTATGGTTTCCTTTGCTGTGCAAAAGCTTACAAGTTTGATTAGGTCCCATTTGTTTATTTTTGCTTTTATTTCTATTGCCTTGGGAGACTGACCTAAGAAAACATTGCTGTGGTTTGTCAGTGTTTTGCCTGTGTTCTCTTCTAGGAGTTTTATAGTGTCATGTCTTATATTAAAGTCTTTAAGCCATTTTGAGTTTATTTTTGTGTATGTTGTTGAGGGAGTGTTCTAAGTTCATTAATTTATATGCGGGAAGGCTTTTAGCTTTTCACCATTGAGTATTATGTTGGCTGTGGATTTGTCATAAATAGCTTTTATCATGTTGAGATATGTTCCCTTTATACCCACTTCTTATAAAGGATTCAAGATGGTAAAAAGGGATGCTTGGAAACTTGTTCTCTGATGAGGTGTGTCTGAGTGAACACAATTACAGGCAGATGCTTGGACCAGATTTACGAATAGAGGAAAACAATTAGAACCTAGTTTCTAGTTTCATGTCAGTCAAGTGTAGAGTTTCATAATGGTTGATATATGTGGAGTAAAGGTTTGTGAAGAGTCCAAGATAACAGTGAATTCTGTGCTTATTTTTGGTAAATTGTAATATTGCTTACTTTGTAAAGAAACTAGTCATGATAGAGAGTTTTATGGGAAAAAGAAATCCGCCTTTTCGATATTTCCTTTAATAAAAGTTAAAATTCTGAACATGCAGAACTTGATTATTGATCTGTGCCTAGGTATTGATGTAACATACTTCCTAAAGTAGTAAATTTCAATTGCATTCCTATGTAATTGTTTGCTGTCATATCTCTGGATTTAATTTTTAAATATTTGAAAGCTAGAGTATGCTTCCAGTTAGATTTTTTACTTGGACAATAATATAAAGCAAAACTATCAGTCATTATTTTCAATGCCATTATATTGTAGCTCGTTGATAGCATGCTTTTTTATGTTTTCAGGATATGGCTTTAGTTGCCCCTGAGGCTCCTTCAGAACAAGCCAGAAGAGTTTTTCAAACTTACGATCCAGAAGGTAAAAGATTTTATTTTTTATTAACATTGCCTCTGTTTTATATTTTCATATGTTTGCAATATATTGATACTTTCCTGAGTTTTATTTTTAAAGAGTTATGGGATTATTGAAAGAAATGTAGGCTTGCATTTCTTGAAATTTTTAAATAGGAAATGGTGAAAATGGGAACCAAAAAAAATAGGAAACTTCAGTGATCATCATATTCTCACATGGTGTAAGGGTTTTGTGTTTCTTGTGGTACTAAAGTTATGATTACTTGAATCTTGATCTCTGATGGTGTTAAATAGGGAAAAATACCACCTCTTGAATAACTTTTCAAAGAGCTTAAGTCATTTGTTTATTTATTCAGATGAATAAATATTTCAGAATATTTCTTTTTTTAATAATTGAGATATAATTGACATATAACATTCTGTAAGTTTAAGGTATACAACATGTTGCTTTGATATATTTATATATTGCAAAATGATTACTATTTTAGCATTAGGTATAACACCTCTATCACATCACATAATTACTTCTTTTTTGTGGTGAAAACAGTTAAGATCTGATCTGTTAACAATTTTGAAGTTTATAATACAGTATTGTTGACTATAATCACCATTGCTGTTCATTAGTTCTCCAGAACTTATTTATCTACTAGTTGCAAGTTTCTACCTTTAAACAACATCTCCCCAATTAACCTACCTCAAGCCCCTGGTAACCACCACTCTACTCTGTTTTTACAAATTCAGCTTTTCTAGATTCCACATATAAGTGATATCATACAGTATTTGTCTTTCTACGTCTGATTTACTTCACTTAGCATAATGTCCTCAAGGTTTATCCATGTTGTCACAAAAGGTAGGATTTCCCTCTTTGGCATGGCTAAATAATATCCCATTGTGTGTGTGTACACACGCATAAACACTGTAATCTTTATCCACTGACAAACACTTAGGCTGTTTCCATAGCTTGGCTGTTGTAAATAATATTGCAGTGATTGTGCAGATATCTCTTTGAACTACTGATTTCACTACCTTCAGATATATACCCAGGAGCGGAATTGCTGAATCATATGGTAGTTCTGTCTTTAATTGTTTGAAGAATCTCTGTACTGTTTTCTTTAATAGAGATACCATTTTATATTTTCACCAACAGTGCATAAAGTTTCCCCTTTCTTCACAAATTCACCAACATTTAATCTCGTCTTTTTTTTTTTTTTTGGCCATGCCATGTGGCATGTGGATCTTCCCTGACCGGGGATCAAACCCATGCCCCCTGCATTGGGAGCGCGTAGTCCTAACCACCGGACCACCAGGGAAATCCAGTCTCCTGTCTTTTTGATAAAGTTCATCCTAACAGGTGTGAGGTGATACCTCATTATGATTTTGATTTGCATTTTCCTGATGATTAGTGATATTGAACATTTTTTCATATACCTATTGGCCATTTGTATGTCTTCTTTAGAAAAATGTCTATTCAGGTCCATTGCTAACTTTTTAATTGAATTATTTGTGTTTTTGCTCTTGAGGTCTTTATATATTTTGCTTTACATATTTTGTGTATTAACCTATTATCAGATACATGGCTTGCAAGTATTTTCTTCCACTCTATAGGTTGCAATTTTATTATTTCCTTTGCTGTGCAGAACCTCTTTAGTTTAATGCAGTCCCACTTGTTTATTTTAGTTTTGCTGCCTGTTCTTTTGCTGTCTTATCCAAGAGATCGCTGCCAAGACCAATGGCGAGGACCTTTTCTCCTACATTTTCTTTTAGTAGCTTTACAGTTTGAAGTCTTACACTTAGCTGTTTGATCCATTTCAAAGTGTTTTTTTGTGAATACTGTAAGATAGGGGTCCAGTTTCATTCTTTTGCATGTGGATATCCATTTTTCCCAACACCATTTATTGAAGAGACTATCCGTTCCCAATTGTATGTTCGTGGCACTCTGATCAAAAATTAGCTGACCATATATTCATGAATTTATGTCAGGGCTTACTATTCTGTTACACTGGGCTGGGTGCTTGTTTTTATGCCAGTAGCATATTCTTTTGATTATTAGAGCTTTGCAGTATAGCTTGAAATCAGGTAACATGATGCCTCTGGCTTTGTTCTTCTTTCTCAAGATGGCTTTGATGGTGCAGTATCTTTTGTGGTTCCAAATAAATTCTGGAATAATTTTTTCTATTTCTGTGAAAAAATGTCACTGGAATATTGGTAAGGATTGCATTGACTGTGTAGATCACTTTGGGTAGTATGGACATTTTAACACTATTAATTCTTGATATAATCCATGAGCACAGTGTATCCTTCTATTTGTGTTTTCTTCAGTCTCTTTCATCAGTGTCTTACAGTTTTCAGTGTCTTATACCTCTTTGGTTAAACGTGTGCCTGAGCGTTTCATTGTTTTTGATGCTATTGTAAATGCAGTTGCTTTTTAAATTTCACTTTCAGATAGTTCTTGTTGGTGTCTAGAAATGCAACTGATAACAGTATGTTGATTTTGTATCTTCCAAATTTACTGAAATCATTTTTCTAACAGTTTTTTAGTGGAGTCTTTAGGGTTTATATATAAGACCAAGTTATCCACAAACAGAGATCATTTTACTTTTACCTTTCCAACATGAATGCCTTTTATTTCCTTTTTGTTCCGAATTGCTATGGCTAGGACTTCCAATAATATGCTGAATAGAAATGGCAAAAGTGGGCAATCCTGTCTTTTTCCTGTTCTCATAGGAAAGGATTTTAACTTTTCACCACTGAGTATGATATTAGCTGTAGGTTTGTTGTTTATGGCCTTTATTACACTGAGGAACATTCCTTCTGTACCATATTTTTTAGCTTTTTTATTATGAAAGGATTTTGTATTATATCAAGTGCCTTTTCTGCATACTGACATGATCATACAATTTTTTTCTTTTATAAATGTGGTATATCAGATCTGTTGATTTGCATATGTTGAACCATCCTTGCATCCCTGGAATAAATCCCACTTGATCATAGTGTATGGTCCTTTTAATCTGCTGTTGAATTCAGTTTGCTAATATTTTGTATCTGTATTCATCAGGGATTATGATATGTTTTCTTTTCTTGTAGTGTCCGTATTTGGCTTTGGTATCAGAGTAATGCTGGTCTCAAAGTGAATTTGGAAGTATCCCCTCATCTTTACTTTTTTGGATGATTTGTAGAAGGATTGGCATTAATTCCTCTTTAGTTGTTTCATAGATTCACCAGTGAAACCATCTGTTCCTGGACTTTTCTTTGTTGGAAGGTTTTGGATTACATTGTCAGTCTCCTTTTTGTTACTGCTCTATTAAGATTTTCTTTGTCCTCATGAGTCCTTTTTAGTAGGTTTTATGTTTCTAGGAATTAATCAGTTTCTTCTCATTTGTCCAATTTGTTGGTGTGTTATTGTTCATAGCAGTCTCTTCTGACTCTTTGTGTTTCTGTGGTAACAGTTACAATGTCTCCTCTTTAATTCTGTTTTGTTTATCTTGTCAGAAAATCAGCTGTTAGTTTTATTGCTTTTTTCTATATTTCTGTTCTCTATTTCATATATCTCTGTTGTAGTTTTTCTTCTTTTTTTAGTTCCTTAAGGTGTAACGTGAGGTTGTTTATTTGAGGTCTTTTTGTTTCTTAATGTAGGCATTTATCAGTATAAACTTCCTTCTTAAAACTGCTTTTGCAGCATCCCTAAGTTTTGATACATTGTGCTTCTGTTTTCATTTGTTTCAAGATATTTCTTGATTTCCCTTTTGATTTCTTCTTTGACCCATTGGTTGTTCAGGAGCATGTTGTTTAATCTACATATATTTTGCATTTTCTTCCTGTGGTTTTTTTCTAGTTTCCTGTCATTGTGGTAGGAAAAAATACTGGGTGTGATTTCAGTCCTTTTAAATTTGGTAAGACATGTTTTATGCCCTATCATGTGATCTATCCTGGAGAATCTTTTTTGTACACTTGAGAAGAAATGCATATTCTGCTGCTGGTATATGGAGCGTTCTGTATATGTCTGTTAGGTACATGCTGTCTAAAGTGTAATTCACATCTATTATTTCCGTACTGATTTTCTGTCTACATGATCAAACTGTTGTTGAATGTGGGGTACTGAAGTCCCCTACTTTATTTCATTGCTCTCTGTTCTCCCTTCAGATTTGTTAATAATTATTTAGTACATTTAGGAGCTACAATATATGGTACGTATATGTTTATAGTTGTTATATCCTCCTGATACATTCATCCCTTTATCATTACATAATGACCTTCTTTGTCTCTTGTTACAGTTTCTGATTAGAAGGTATTTCGTCTGACATAAGGATGGCTACCCCGGTTCTCTTTTGTTTTCCATTTGTATGCAATATCTTTTTCGTCTCATCACTTTCAGCCTATCCATGTCCTTGAAGCTTAAGTGAGTCTTTATAGACTCACATAGAGTTGGGTTTTGTTCTTTTATCCATTCAGCCACTCTGTGTCTTTTGATTGGAGAAATAAAACCATTTACATTTACAGTAAATGTTGATAGGTAAGGACTTACTATTGCCACTTTGTTAATTAATTGTTTTGTAGTTCTGTAGTTTCATTCTTCTTCTGTTGGTTTCTTTGTGACTTGATTTTTTTATAGTAGTATGCTTTGATTCTCTTCTCTTTATGGTTTGTCTATTATAGGTTTTTGCTCTTTGGTTATCATGAGGCTTTTGTAACACATCTTAGTCTTATAACTATTTTAAGCTAACAACAACTTAACTTCAATTACATAAGAAAGTTCAATGCATTTACGTGACCTCCATAATTTATTTTGATGTCCCAGTATACATCTCTTTATATTGTGTATCCATTAACATAATATTGTAGATGTAGTTATTTTTAACCCTTGTCTCTTAGCCTGTATGGTAGAGTTCAAAGTGATTTACACACACCACCACAGGATTTTTATTTTTTTAAGGTGTAACTGATGTTTAATATTATATTACTTTCATGTGCACAACATAATGATTTTATATTTTTATGTATTTCAAAATGATCACCTCAGTAGGCCTATTAACATTGATCACTATACATAATTACAAATTTTTTATGTATGTGATGAGAACTTTTAAGATTTGTTCTCTTAGAGACTTTCAAATAAGCAGTACAGTATTATAAACTGTAATCACCATGCTGTACCTTACATCCCCATGACTCACTTATTTTATAACTGAAAGCTTGTACCTCTGAAACCTTTCACTCATTTCACCTACTCCCCCACTTTTGGTGTTAAATCCAAAAAATCATTGCCAAGAGTGATGTCATGGAGCTTACCACCTATGTTTGCTACATAATAAGAATTTTAATGTTTCTGGTCTTACATTCAAGTCTTAACTCAAAATAGATCAAATTTTGTGTGTGGTGTAAGGTAGTGGTCCAGTTTGCCCAGTACCACTTATTGAAGAGACTGGCCTTTCTCCATTGTATATCATGGCTCCTGTGTTGTAAATTAATTGACCATTTAAGTGTACGTTTATCTCTGGGCTCTCTGTTTTGTTCCTTTGATCTGTGTGACTGTTTTTAGGTCAATACCATACCGTTTTGATTACTATAGTTTGGTAATATAGTTTGAAATCAGGAGGTGTGCTACCTCCAGCTTTGTTCTTTTTTTCTCAAGATCGTTTTGGCTATTCATTCGGGGTAACAGAGCCAGGGTCCTAGGATCCGGTGCGTACAGAACTACCACAGTAGTCCTGAGGTACAGGTGCACTTGCTGCAGGTATGGCACTGATGTCTGCGGTATACATACGTACAGCTCTTCCGTGGACCTGGGACCTGAGTTTCAGGGGCTCCCCATAGTGGCTTACGGGCGTGGGGGTGTGTGACAGTGGCACAGGCCCTGGGATGACAAGCTGTGGTGGTGGCTTGGGCCCAGGCTGCAGTAGCAGCATAGACTGGGGATGGTGGGTCGGAGTCTCACTTTTGGCCCCACGCGGCAGTCACAAGGCAGTAGCAGCAGCACAACTGCAGTGCTGATCTGTTAAAGCTGAGCTTCAGCAGTGGGCTCAGGGCAGTGCTGCCCAGTCTCAGCACTGATGTGTCAGAGCCTCAACCTCGGGGGGGGCGGGCAGGGCTCAGTGATGGTAGCATCCTTGAGGATGATGGGTCAGAGCTATAACCTGGTATCCAGTAGGCGGGGCCCAGGGCAGCAGACACTGTGCTGGTAATGGTGGGACAAAGCCACTACCCTGAAACCAAGGATGAGGCCCAGAGCTCCAGTCCTGTATATGGTGAGGTGCTGAGGCGCACCTCATTCCAGAGAGCAGGGTACAGCAGAGACTGGGGTCCCTGAGGGCAGGTCTCCTGAGCGACAACTCTAGCCTCTGGGAGTAGATGCAGGGGCTGGGAAGCACTGTGGTCAGCTCCGTCAGCTGGGAGCAATGTTGGTAGGAGACCACTGCAGCAAAGGCTGCACATGTCTCCAGCGGAGAGGCCTGCAGGGGTTCTCCTTTTCCCCGTGTGGTGACCTTCCTCTGAGGCCATCCCTCCTGGTGCCAGGCTGCTCTTGACGGGGTAATGGCTTGACTCGGGTAGTACACTTCCCGTACCGTCCTGTGCAGCTATCCTTGATTTATTTTGGAGCTCCGCAGGGCTTTCTGCCGCTTCCTTGTAGCCCAGTACTTTCCCTGGGGGGTTTTCTTCAGTTTGTGCTGTTTATTGTTTTTGTTGGCTTCTTGTGCGGGAGGCATGAGTTGGGGTCTCCTAGCCCTCCATCTTGCTGACGTCACTCCCCAGAATATTTCTGTGTAATTGATTGTGCCAGAAGAAAATACAGAAGAAGGATAAGAAAAATCATCTTTAGGATTCTCTTTTGAGCCTGAGCTTAGCTTCTCTACCGCACTAACAAACGTTGTCTTAAAAGTTCACATACATGTCACTGCAGTGTCAACTCTGTCATTGTTAGCTAGGTTATTTTAATCATCTTTGCATTTATGTACTTCGATAATGGTTATGACTAAAGTATGACAGCTAACTCACTGACTTTTCCAGTATAACTTTAAAACCGAGCCATGCCTTATGTTCCATTGTAAATTACCAGGAAGGAACCTACGTTGTTGGGTTAATCCTTATCAACTCCTGAATGGACTCAGTTATCTTTATAAATACACTTTCTTCTGTCTTGAAATTTTTAACTCTTGGAGATCTACTCTTTCCATCTCTAAAAATTTCAGTCATAGAAATTCTAGGAATCTTAGTAACCATATAACTTTAGTTACTTTTCAGTCTATAAATCTGTTTTCTTATATATCAGATGATAATAACCACCTGTTTCTTGAGAGTCCTTATGAAGATTAAATGAATAGCATTGTAGAAATCACCTGCCCAGTCCTTAACACATAGTAGGTCCCCTACTTCATAAATGTGAGTTCCTCTCTCTCTACACCTCAGGTTAATTGGTGCTGGTATTGGTGAGTTGACCTTCAGTTAGCTTCTTCCATTATGCCTTTTCCCTAACTTAAGAAAAATAAATGTTGCTTTCTTCTTGGAATTAATAATCTTTTAAACTTCCAATAACATTTCATTCCAAGTCTTTAAAAGTAAAAGTAATTTACTTCTTTATATCTTCCCACCACTGAATGAAATTCGTCTTATAGTAAGTTAACATTCAGCTGGAATCATTGGGATATGTAGCACATTGGGCTTCCCTGGTAGCGCAGAGGTTGAGAGTTCGCCTGCCGATGCAGGGGACATGGGTTCGTGCCCCGGTCTGGGAAGATCCCACATGGCGCGGAGTGGCTGGGCCCGTGAGCCATGGCCGCTGGGCCTGCGCGTCCGGAGCCTGCGCTCTGCAACGGGGGGGGGGGGGGGCCCACAACAGGGAAAGGCCCACAAACCAAAAAAAAAAAAAAAAAAAAAAAAAATAATGGGGTATGTAGCACATTGAACTATGTCATGGAGGGTGACAAATACAGTCATTCTTTTACCAATATGAATCCTCTGATGGAAAAGATAGGAAATAAATCATTTCTATTCCTAAATGCTTTTAATATATTTTGAGTTAGGATCAAACTTAATCAAGTACAGTTTTTGGAAACGGTAGCAAGTTAAAATGAAAATAAGATTGATATAAATAATATAAGATTAAAAGAAATGTGATCAAAGTGAACTGAGATTAGCTAGAGAGCTATCATGGAGACCTGAGGAGGTACGATCATGTTGGCAAATGGAAGCACAAGGAAGAGAAAATGATACCTATGAACACGAGGTAGAAGACAGAAATATACCAGGAATAGCCAGCAAAGTGTTTGACTTGAATGGAAAGACAGGACACAAGAAAAATAATTATGTAGCATGTACTAAAGAGAAGTGATGGTTATTGGAATACGGTCAAGGCTTGGATTTATATTTTAAAGAAATATATTTCAGAGAATGAGTCAAGCGATTTCCTGTGGCATACCCTCCTCTTAAGGATTTATTTAAAGTACTAGGTTTTTTTCCCCTGCCATCTCTCACCCTGCTTCTAGATGTTTGCCTTTTCTATATCTCATATCCCAGGGCAGAGTGGTCGTGAAGTGGTATACACATACATATGTAAATGCCTGCTCTGTTTCAAGATACGTTAGGTGACATGTTTCTACCCATATTGATAGTAATTACTGTATGAGAGGAGGATTCCTTCTAGAGTGGAATACATTATAGGATGAAGTATGTAAGGTGGCATGGATAAACTGGGTGTCTTTCCAGAGTTTCCAGTCAGGTCTTTATAGTGCTGCTTAATTTTGATTTGAAATGATTGTCCAAGATATCAAGCATACTCTTACCCCAGTGTAACCACTACAGACCATTCTCAAACCAAACGTATGGCTTTTCTGTAATCTGGCGTTTTGGATCCCTCTGCATTAGTTTCTTTAGTGAGAATTTTAGAACTGAAATTGAAATTGGAAGTGAATGAGTTTCTTGAGAAAGGAAATGTACAAGGAGAGTATCAGAATATCTTAGGAGATAATAACTGTGAAGGAACAAAGGCATAGAGAAACGCCTTCAAAGCAAGAAGGAGTGTTCACAGCCGTAGGAGACGTGGACTTGAAGAGCCTGATGTTCTCTAGAAGGCCAGTTTGAAACAATTCCGTCAGGAATAAAGATACTAAAGCTAAACTTTAGTATCTTATAGTCACAAGTAGTAGATTTGTTTGCTTTTTGCAATTTCAATTTTTTAAAATCATTAATGAGGTAGCAGGCTCCATTTTGTCTACTAAATTACAAGGAAAATTATCTTATTGGCAATATTAAAACAATTTATGATCAGTGGCAGTTTTTCAGAATTGAGTCCTGAGAAATACATATGAAAATAAATTTGCTGTGTTTTTACTAGAGAGAGAAAATTATTGATTAAATAAATTAGTTTTCATCTATATGGTTTTATGTGTGACAACTTAGCAGGACTATAATCTGAATTGTTAAGAAGCAAACAAAACTTGTTCGGTCATCTTAGAAAAGCTATCTCTTTCTGTCTATGACTTACATAGAAAATAAACTCCACTTTCTCATTTGAATATCCCTGTTTATGGTTTAGCTATTGACAGTCCACTCTAGGAAGCTGAAAGATTAAAAATAGAAAATTCTTCATTTTTAGTCACAAACTAATCAGCTAATTTACTGATTTGATCCCCCCTTCCCCCAACATAGCACACTTTTATTTCAGGATCTGAACAGATCTCCTTTCTCAGAACACTTACTATATTAACAGTACTTACAAGTTTCTGGGTAGTGGGTAGTTCCAGTTTCCGTTTAGCAGAGGCTGGTGTGGTGACAGTTGCCGTTTGTCACCCTCTTTAGAATATTTGTAGAAAAACTGACCTAGAGGGAAGCTAAAGAGAAGAGAATCCAAGTTCTGGTACCCGTGAGTACTCTGGTGTCTGTCTCACCCTCCCCACCTCAGCCTCGCTCCCACCCCGGGTGTCTGCACGCGCCTGTCAGGTAGGTAGACCTGTAAGCAGCACTGTTAGCTCCTGCTTTAGGCATCTTGTGAATTAAATGCAGTTGCGGGCTAATCACCATTTACAGCATTGCCTCCGTGAGACTGTATGTTCAGTGTTCTAAACAGGTGACTTATAAATCAGGTTTAGGTTTCAAAAGACCATTAGTAACTGAGGACCTGTCTAAAAATAGTAATTATCATGATGGCTGGCCTTTGCATGAAGCATCACAGTTTATAGAGCAGTTTACCTGCGTGGTCTCATTAAAACCTTACCATAAACCTAGGAGATAAGCAGGGATGACCAGCACCATTTTGTTCTTAAGAAAAGCCAACCTTGTGAGGGTTTAGGTCACTTCTTCAGAGCTGCATGCCTAGTTGTGAGAACTGAGACCAGATTCGAGGTGTTCTTCCAGAAGGTCAAGCAATCTTTCCCCCTCTCTCCACTACCAGTACCTTTTTAAAAGGCTGAGGTCATAAAGAGCTGTGTTTTAACCTCTTTGTCTACTTTTAACTATTTTTAATTTATTGGAATAAGGATATGATATTGACTGTCATTCCCACTGAGCAGTTAGTCTCTACTTCAGAGTCTTTAGGATCTAAGGAGCTCAATAATTATTTTGACGCCAAGCATACATATAAAATAAGTTCAAAAATATATTTTTAGCTGTTAGCTTCTCCTTTTAATTTCAAGCAGGACCTTGACATACCATCTCTAATTACATGGTCCCTTTAAGGAAGAATCCCAAATTCAGAAATGGAAATGAACACTAGTGTGTGTGCTCAGATCCTAAAGAGAATCAGGTACTGGTCCTATATAAAGTGTTACATATGGGCTTTAGAGAAAGTCCATAGTTTTGTTTCCTGGGGATTTGGGTTGGGGGGTGGCGTTGTTTTTATGTTTTGTTTCGTTTCATTTTTTTACATCTCTTTTGTGGGAGAAAGTTTGGATATTTGGTTTGTATTCAGATACATATTTTATAGTAATTTTTAAAAACAAAAGAGTAGGGACAGAGGTAAATTGATCAATGTGATCAAAGATACTGGACAAGAGAGGAATTTTGGAATGCCTCCAGGTATCAGAAAATGGCTTTCTAAAATGCTAAAAGCATTCCAGTGGGTATCAGACAACCTGGATTTAAATCCCACCTGTGTAAACTCAGCTGTGTGATGTTGGGCAAGTTCCTTAACCTCAGTTTCCTCAGCTGTAAGATGGCCTTTGTATCTACTTTACATCATTATTCAGGTACTCAATAAGTTGACCATACTGTTGTTTAAAAAAGAAAAAATTCCAAAACTGTGTAGCATAGAGCTTATTCAGTAATCTCCAAAGAACTGAATTCTACACAGATGGTATTTGAAATTTTTAGCATCACCCGTAACGGGGTTTGTTTTGTTTTCTTCTCTCTCTCTCCCTCTTATTCTTTCTTCGCCCCGCCCCGTTGTAGACTTCATCAACGCTCTTTGGACAAGGGATATATATTTTAATTTTAAAGAGCCCTTGTATTCTTTGTAGGTTGCTAAAATATATTGATAGCATCTTTTGTATGAATGATTTCAGTGTGGTACATTTTTTTCATCTTTAAGAATAATTTTACTTGTTGTAGATAGTTTAGTATACACCCATCCTTAGACATCATCTAGAAGTTGCCTTTTGTTTAATTCTGTCTTTTCCTTTTAAATCACGTTGTCTTCTACCTTTGCATCCCTTCCGTCACTTCCATTCACCTTGCTGTACCATTCTCATCACTGTTTCCTGCTGCCCCAGCCATAGTTTTTTCTTTATCCTGTGCACCTTGTTTAGTTTGGTTTGCAACTTTCCCATCACATAATTGAAGTGGTTCTGCAGGACAGGCCGTAAAGCAGCTACTCATTTCATTGTAAACTTCCTAGGTACAATTCACAGAGCTGTTTTTGGTTGAACCATGGTGCCTGAACAGAGCAGTTTGTTTAAATCTGAAGTTAGGATTAGCTTGAATAATTGAATGTAACAAATGTTATTGAGCAGCTACTTGTGTTAAGCACCGTGCTCGGCCCCCGGGTCATGGCATCCCTGCTGTCCGTGGCCTCTGTTTACGGGGCCAGAGGCGCGAAGCAGCAGGGAGACACAAGCCAGGAGACCAGGGCAAGCGTGACTACGAAAATGCCCTAACCTTGCCTCTGAGCAAAAGCCACATACTTTTTTTCACTAAGAGTTCTATTAAATTGTAGGGATATGTTATTAAAGCGTCAATAATAATAGCTAGGTAAAGTATGATACAACATTGAGTAAAAATAAAATAATTTGTTAATTTTTTACTAAAACCAACAGCACTTAAATTCTCAACTTGATCTTGATTGTCTCCTCTGTTCCTAAGAAACTGTACTTTTTCTCACCTACAGGGGTTTGAAAACATTAACGGTCCCCAGTGCTGGGTCCCCATCTCCTCTCACGCTGTTTCTTGTCCCGCTGTGGCTTCCTGACACCTGCTCTCTCCTGCAGCTCTCCCTTCAGCTGGTGCCTCTGCTAGGAGGCCTGCCAAGCTCCCCACCGTCTTTCCAAATGGGAATCATGATGGGTCCTTCCTTCTCCTTCGAGGCCAGCTCGACTTCTTCACCATTCTGAACTGATCCTCCTACCCAGCAAATTGCTAGTTCACTTCACCGTTGTGCCCCTACCCAGCGCTGCTCTGCGCAGAGTTCCTCTTCCCGAGCTCTAGGAGCTGGGCGCTTCTTGCCGTCTGTTTACTGGGTTTTAAAGAAACAAAAAAACCCCTCTTTTTTAAATTTATAAACGAACAGCTTTTTTCCTCCTTTTCAAATGTCTTAAACACAATTTAACTGTATGTGAATGTTGGCACCGTAGCTGCGTACCGTCACAACCGCGGGCACTGCCCCCTTGCCCTCCCCGCCCGTCTTCCCCGTTCTTCTGAGCTTGAAAGCCTGTACAAGGCCATTTTATATTCATGTGGTTAAATTACCGATGCATTCAAGTTCTGCTTTTTCCTTTGGTGCTTCTTAGGTCGGCTTGAGCAATCAACAAATTGTATGCTCAGATTTCCTCTGCTGTTGGTATTGAGGTCTTCTTATCATTGTGTCTCTGTTTCCATATTCTCTGAGGAACCAGCTGACTAAATACTAGATGGAGTGAGTTTCGATCTGCTTAGACTTAAGGCTGCTTTTTCTAAAGAATTTGTCTTGACAGGTATGATTATTAAAGAATAAAGTAATTTCAAAATTAGTGTTTTAAAAAGTAATTCCAAATCTCCTCTTCTAATCTTGGGTGTATTAAAAGTCTTTGAGGTATTGAAAAAAATGATTCTGCAATCTCCAGTTATAAAATACTGTATGTACAAAAACTAGAGTCACTGGCTTGGTGTAGTCATTGCTCTACTCCAGAATGTCCGTGTTTACACGTTGTAAATCTCTTAGGCCCCTTAAAAATGTGGTGGAATGTTTAAGCTTGAGGTTAATCACGTTTGAGTTAAGGAGGTCATTATGTTGTTTTCCTAGTTGTTGTTTGTGTCCCTATACAGCCCATTAGCCCTTTCTGGGGATGGGAGCTGAGTCTCCGGTTACAGTAAGAAGAGATAAGGCTGCCTGCCATTCAGTGTTTCAGAAGAATATTGTAATACACACGGCTGCTGTCAAGTGATATACATGACAGCCCGTAAACATGGAAACCTATCCGGATAACTGTTGCTGGCCGCCAGTAGCCACATAAAGCCTGTTTTACATTCGGAAATGCTAAGCTTTTAGCTGTGACCTAACTAAGCAAAAGGAGTAATTTTCTGCCTTTCAGACTCATCAACTGAGGCTTATAAAGCTTGAATGTTTTTCACAGGTGCCTTCAAACAAGTTTTTTTATTCTCTATACCTTCAATTATTGGTAACCTGACAAACTGGAATTATTCTAAATGTTCACTTTCTAAAATTATATTTAGGATAATTTTTAATTATCCTAAATGATTCTTAGCCTTTTAGTCAAAGCCAGTCTGTCTTCACATGGGTAAGCATGTGCTTATGAGGTTTAAGAAAAGACTTTTAAAAAAATCTTAACTTCTTTATTTCCTTGCTGATAGAGTACACACTATGTGCAGAAAGAGCAACTCCACTTTATTCTATAGTTTGATTATAGAAGCAGGGCTTTTGGGCATCTTGTCCTCCAGGACAAGGTTTTTTTTTTTTGTTTGTTTGTTTTCCTTAATTATCCTAATCCCTGAAAAGGTTATTGTGTTGGAAGTTGATTTAAAGCTGAGACAGTCTTCAGGAAAGAATAAATGGGTAGAGGAAGTCAGGCATTGTACATTTAAGGGAATCAAGTTGCTTGTTTATAAGTACTGTGGTTTCAAACTGCCCTACAAGCTTTTTGTGTGTATCACGTCCTATCGCATCATCTGAGTTTGGGCCATTTACAATGCTATTTCCTCATCGAGCCCAAGAAAAGGAACATTTTCCATAAACTACTCTGCATCAACATTTGATTCTACTCTGCGTTCCAACTTTGAATTTTTTTCGCTATTAAATCTATGGCTTTTATTTAAATCAGGTCTGTTGATTTAAGTCAAGAGATATCTTTTCTTGATCGTATATTGTCAGAGATCTAGATAACGGTGGTTCATGAACATTCTTGCAAGAAGCTAAAATAACATTGCGACAAAAAGAATTTACTGGTAAAGTTTTATTTTAATTGGATAACTAACTGCTAAAAACTTAAGTAGGAAAAAACTTGTCTCATTTAAATTTGTAAGCCTGTTTAAGAAGTAATTTGGCTTTCTTCAGGTTTCCTTGGAGTTCTCAGGGAGAAGTCGTGTGGTTCATTTTTGTATTAGAAAACTAACCTTGAAAATAAATCTTCACCTGTGTGCCCAAGAAAACTAAGAGTACCTAATAATAATATTGTGCCCAAAACAAACTTAATATGCTGTTTCTTAATTCTTTGTATCCCTCTTATGTGATTCTTCACTGGAGTCTGGCTGAGCAGCAATAATAGCATTTCTTGAAGTAAACTTAATCCAAATTGCTTCTGTAATTCTTTTCCAGATAATGGATTCATACCTGATTCACTCCTAGAAGATGTGATGAAAGCATTGGACCTTGTTTCAGATCCTGAATAGTAAGCTACATACGAAGTATTACTTAACCAACTCTTGATTCTGTTAAATGTAAAACGTTATACACACATTATTGCCTTTTTTTAAAAAATCTAAGTGTTTATGCATATATGAAGCATAGCACTTGATATTAAGCAACGATTTAGGAAGCAGTCAGACCAATCAGTATTATAGCAGAGACTTGACTTACTTAAAATGAACTTCCTTTTCCACTCTGTGCACTTATGGTCTAGTTTTTTATAAAGGGTCCTAAAAATGTAAATGCCTTTTTCCTTATTTTTCTCACTGTGAAACTTCTTCCATTTTTTGAAATTTTGTGCATGTCTTTAGCACCTTCAGCGAAAGTAGTGACAGTTATGTAGAATGTCTGTATTGCTAGTCGTCCTGCTTAAATAACCAGCAGGCCTTTGACATTCAGTCTTATAAAGACCCTGAACATTCTAAATGATCTGAAACCTTTGCAAGTGGCCCCAGTATGTTACAGAATATAATTTTCAGTATTGCCTAACATTAATATCAGTCGTTGTCTTCGTTAATAATGTACATTATTACATCTATAACTTCTTCCATAAATTTGGGATCTTTATTATCCATGGGAAAATCTCTCTCTGGTTAAGTGGATAGATCTTTTGATCAAATATGGTAATCAAATATATATTAATCAAATATAGGTGATTTAAAAATCACATTTGATCTACACTAAGTTTTCCTTTTTCTGCACAATTGTCTTGTTTTGTTTTTTCCCCCTTCTGAAAATGTATCTGACAATGAACAAACTTTAGCTTAGAAACATTTAAGGATTCAGCAAAAGCAGCATAAAACATATTGGTACACAGTTTTTAGAACTTGATCCTGTTCTGTTTTTAAATAGTTAGGGTGTATTTTCTTCGAAAGTATGAAATACATATAAACGTTTGCAAACTAATCACATCTGAATTAATATGTCTCAATGTCAGTACCTAGCGCTGTGATGTTACCCTTACTTAGTAGACATAATTGTTGATTCCAACTAAAGACGAGAAATTCAGAGACAGTTGAACTAGTCCAATAAATGAGATAATAGTAACTACCATATTTCTTAACTGATTTCCAAGTGGAGACCTTGTTTACATTGCTCTAATATGCAAAAGGGAATTGAACTGAGGTAATTTTGGTTACTAACAATTCTTAAGATGGGAAGGAGGAAAAAGGCAAAGTTGGTTTTTTGTTTCAGATTCTTACGTAGATGCCTATACGTCATCTACTTAATTTTCCTTGTTTCATCAGAATACATAACATACCCTGAATTTTAAAGTTAGCACAGTAGAGTCAAATTGTTTTTCTAGAAGTAGCTGAAAGATTGCACTGAGTTATTTATTCGGTCCTTTGGTCTAGTCACATTTATAATATGTGATGGCCCATTAACAGGGCCTTATTATCAAGGACTAGTAAATTATATTAAATATAATATGACCTTGCCTTTCTCTGTTTCATGTCATAACCTCCTGGCATTACTCAGACCCATTAAAGTGTCATATCCTTTGCATGTTGTACAGTTGACCCTCGAACAACACAGGGGTTAGGGGAACTGACCCCCGCACAGATGAAAATCCGTGTGTAACTTTTGACTCCCCCAAAACTTTACTAATAGCCTACTGTTAACTGGAAACCTTACCAGTAACATAAACAGTCTATTAACACATATTTTGTATGTTATATATATTATATTACTGTATTCTTAAAGTAAGCTAAAGAAGAGAAGATGTTATTAGGAAAATCATAAGGAAGAGAATTTATTTATGGTACATGTATGTATTTATTGAAAAAAAAATCCACATATACGTGGACCTGTGCAGTTCAAACCCATGTTATTCAAGGGTCAACTGTATAATAAGTTGTATTTAACCTGACATTTATAGTTTGAAAGATAACATGGAGAATGAAAATTTTCTGAAAAGACCATTTTCATTTTTAAAACTCTCTTCAAACTGCAGTCCACTTTTCTCCGCCTTCTTTCTAGTCACACATAATACCTGTCAGCAGCCTCGGCTACACCTACCTGATCGTTACACCTATAGTTCAGCTCTTTGAGAATTATCTTACCTTTTTTAACCTTCAGTTTACACTGTAAGAATTTTAAGCCTCCACCTCATTTGGTTCTTGAAAGTAAGCTTTTTCGGAGATGTTTCTGTTTATCTGATGTACCACTGCTTTTGATGCTGTTTCTTTTTCTCTTTGGGCTTAAAAAAAAAAAAGTTTATTTTAAGTTAAATGCCTCTTTTGATAGTTAAATTCAGGCATAGCCATGAAGCAAAGAGAATGTGCCTTTGGGAGGTTAAAAGCCTCTTTTTACAAGCCTGGGTTTTTAAGTTACTTTACCTAATAAGGAACAATATTCCAAAGTCATCATCATAATTTAAATTCTAAATAGTAACAGATTACTCTGGTTTAAAAATAACCAAGTTTTGGCAAATTAGATGTCATCCTGTGTATTTGTCATTAAGGGTTTAAAAAGAACAGCTGTCAGGATTTTTGGCAGTCAAATGTGTTATAGTAATTTAACCATGAAAGAAGAAAAATAAGCTTTTTTTTCCATTGGTATCCACTGGTTTTCTTTTTTCTCTCCCCATAGTATAAATCTCATGAAGAATAAATTAGATCCAGAAGGATTAGGAATCATATTATTGGGTCCATTTCTTCAAGAATTTTTTCCTGATCAGGTAACATAGCTGAAGAAATATATTTATTGTTTTGTTCTGTTGGGAGGATCATATTATGATTGTTTCAGCATTTTTTTCTACTAGTTAAAAATGTTCTCACATGCAGATATTAGACTAATAAGCACTATTATCATGTAAATACTTTCCCAACAGAGACGATAGAAGAGTTGTGTGTTCCACTACAGCAACACAAAACTTTGGGGGACAGGGGTGGTGGAAGAGAGTATATACACCAATATAGACACATTGATATTGTTTTTCTAAAGGAAGATTCAAATTCAGAAGTTTGTGGAGTAAAAAGAGAAAGATTCTCTTAAACCACTCCCACCCCTGTTTTCCTTCTCTCGGGTAACTGTTGTTAATTGATTGGTATGTATCTTTTTAGAACTTTCTAAATACTAGCAAAGGAGCCTGCATGTAGTGCGAACTGCTACCAGTGCTAAGTTCGAGGAGAATTTTAGTTGAGTAAAAGGAAAGCCTTTTACTGGAGTGGAGCTGTGCTGCTTCATGCTGGGACATGCCTTCCACTGGCTGTGACAGGAGCTGAGTTAAAAGGACCTATCTATACCCGTCTCAGTATGCTCAAGTTATGTCTGTGTCATTGGCTAATTCTACAGCCTACACCTGGCTTGTCTTCCTATCTGAGTGCGGGGTTTTACCACCCACCCAAATTATTTAGCCAGGTGTATTGTGATCATTTCATCAGATACGAACATGGTTTATGGTAAGACTAGCAGGCGCAGCTACCATTTATTGAGCATGTACTATGTACTCAGGCACCGTGTGCCCTACAAATTAGGTATTATTTTTCCCCCATTTTTGTCAATGAGGAAACAGAGGATTAGAGAACTTAAGAAAATGGTTTAACGTCATACTGCTAGCATGAGGCCAATTCAGGATCCAGTGTAGGTTATCCAAGCAAAGAGACAAAGTACTTTAACCACTGTTTTACACTACCTTTCATTGCTATTTATTTTATATCAGTTGTTAGTTACTAGAACTGGAGATATGTAAATTGTATTCAGTTGTAGTAAAATATTTATTTTGTAGGTTAAAGTATATTAACTAACTCTGAAAATCAACAGCCAAATTATCTAAGTGACTAATTGCACTGACTCATGTATACAATTAAGATGATTGAATAAATTCTACAGTTTTCTGTTTTGTAAAGCATTTGAAGGGGATACAAAAAATTATGATCTTAGATTTTAGACATGAAAAGTTGAAAACAGTTAAAAATGTAACAACTGAAAAGATAATGCAAAGTAGTATATGATTCACAAATTAATTGAGACAATTGTTAGAAAGATCCCAAAGTAATAAGGAATCCAAATAGTGTATTTAAGGCAAACGTTACAAAGTAAGATTTGAACCAGATCTTGAAAAATGAGAAAAGACTTTAAAAAATCACAAATGTGCAAAGAGCCAACAACCAAAGGTCTCTTCATGGGAAGATGAAGAATATGCTTGTCTCAAACAGAATTCAGGAAGGTGAGTGGTTGGAGATAAGACTGGAAGGGTGGGTTAGGTCCTGGAGTTTAGGCTTCTTGGTTGCAAATCCCAGCCTGAACTGCCTGACGTGGGCCAGAAAGATAGGAATTGGGAGGAGTAGCTCAGAGCGACGGGAGGACAGAGGAAGCAGCGCCTGGAAGGTGGTGCCGGGAGCCTCTGGAGCTGGAAGGAGTCTCATCCCCACCTCATCCCTTCTCGTTGGAAAGGAGCGCCTTCTCTTGCTTCCAACTGGAAAAAATTCCAAGGAGGGACACTGGCCCAACTTTTGTCACAGTCAATCAGATATGACCAGGAAGATCCTTAAGGGGGATGGGCACGGGGACACTCAGCCGTAGGCACTAAAGGGAATCACTGGGAGTCAGGCACCTGCAGGGGCCCGACCGTTAACGGCCTTCAAGGCTACGTTTAGGGAGGTGAACTTGAGCTTTAGCGAACTGAGAACCAAAGAACAGTGGGAATGACATGATCACTTTCTCTGGAAGTTAGTATACTGATTTATTCAGTTTCCTTTCTCTATTGAATGTTGTTTAAATCTCTCAGTTTCCTTTTCACAGTTAAGGTTCACAATATTCAGAAGATATTTGTGGGGATGGAAACCCCCAATTTGGTACTACGGACCGAATTGGAAGTATTGGTGCATATGTTTAGAATCTGAGTGAAAGTGGTATCACTGCCTTTCTGTATTTATTGAGAGGAACAAATTATAAGCAGAAAAAAAGCAGAGATACATTTTAGGAAATTTTTTTTGCATTTTAGAACTGTGTCCTTTTTTTAAAAAAATTACAGTAATACATGCACTTTTTAAAAATATAAACTGTAGAAGAGCTTATGATAAAAATCAGCACTCCCCCAATTTCCAGTCTCTTCCCCAGAAGCAAATTTCAGCTTTTAGGTTTTATGGTAGTTAACTGCGTAAGTCTAAGTGTCTTGCTTTGTCAGATGATTCCGTAATCAAAGGATGTGGAATTAAGAAACTTCCATTTTAATTTCAATTGCTAATTAGAAATTGCCTGATATAAAGATTTAAAGTTTTAATTGTTCTTTGTTTATAACAGGGTTCCAGTGGTCCAGAGTCTTTTACTGTCTACCACTACAATGGACTGAAGCAATCAAATTACAATGAAAAGGTATGATAACTCACGTTGTAATTTGTCTTCACCTGGCTTGATAAAATATAGGAGTATATAACAATGTTTGATTCCCATAAACTTGCCACCTAAGGAAGGAGATTATTCTAGGAGTCTCTTTACTATCAGAGCATATTTTAGACCTGGACTCAGTGAGATCTTCATTGGAATTTTGGAGCAGTAGTGTCACTGGGACAAGGTAACCCCATCTACATACATGTTGTTACCCTTGGGTGTTGTAGATGTTACTAAATCAAGTTTAGTGTGCTGAAAGCTACTGATCCGTTTAAATGGAGAAAGAAGGGGTAAGAGTGAGATTCTTGATTTAGAAAAATATTTTAAAGGATTTAAATTAACATCCATAACACCTAGCATTTATTGAGCATTTACCTGGAATTGGCTTAAGCACTTTGTTTTACCTGAAGTTTAACACCATCCCATGAAGTAAGTATTGCCAGTATATCCCCCTTTTACAGTGGCGGAAAGTGCCGCATGGGAGAATTAAGCAGCCTGCCGCCGTCAGGCAGCCGGGAAACGGCGGAGCTGCGACGGGAGCCGAGGGCGCCCCCCCTTAGAGCCCACGGCTCACCCACTGTGCTTTGCTCCACGGACAAAGGCACATCAGTGCTTCACGTCCAGATATACGCACCGGCTTTAAATCAAAACTTTGGTCTCGCCCATTCACCCTCTTTGATTAATGAGCTTTGCCTACACCTAAGATATAGCTCCTATGTTTGCATTTATGCCAGTAACAGTCACAGTAGCTATAGCTAATATTAGAAGGTGTAAAGCCTAACGTGCCTTTTTTGTGTGTGTGGGAATACAGAAGTTTATTTTACTATAACTTTTAAATCCCAGAAAGCAGAAACCAAAAAACCAAGTATTTATACAAATAAAATTATAAAACTGTACTAAGGGAGTAAAGGAAGACTTGAACAAATGATGACAGAAAGGGTGATAATTGAGCACGCTGTGTTTCAGAGAGCAGGGCGATTCCCGGCAGCGTCAACAGACTCACCCCTCACAGTTGGGAGCTCCCACTGGCTTTTGAGTTGGAAGGTGCCATAGAGACAGTTGGTGCTGAACCCCTATTTACTTCCCTCATGAATGGCCTCCAGTGTCTTGAAATACTGTGGTAGGGGGTGTCTTCTTCCAGTGCCAGCAACTGGCCCCATTGTCCTGAAGCAAGTGGTTCCATTTTTAATACCTTAAATGATTAACATCTGTATTAGAGTATAATTGCTTTACAATGGTGTGTTAGTTTCTGCTGTATAACAAAGTGAATCAGCTATACATATACATATATCCCCATATCTCCTCCCTCTTGCGTCTCCCTCCCACCCTCGCTATCCAACCCCTCTAGGTGGTCACAAAGCACCGAGCTGATCTCCCTGTGCGGCTGCTTCCCACTGTGGCTAACATGCCTTTTTAATTTGAAATACCCATGCTGGTTTCAGATGTATCTAAATTGAGGACGGCTAGAGAAAATAGATCATAATGTATATTAGATGCATAATTTCAGTTAGAGCAAATCTAAACCTGTGACTAAAATTTATTTTCATAACAATATAAATTAGAACGTTTATTACATTAGGTTTGAAGATCTTTTTCATAGTAAAATGATTTACTGATATCTATAGCAAAATATAAATTGTCAGTAAGCCAACTTGTATGCTCTGTTCTAATATGTGTAAATGAGTGCTTCCTTTATATTTTGAAGTTTTATGTAGCCTTGTCATAGAAGGTACTTTATAGTCACTACTTAGTTACTTGCCTATACAATCCCTGCAAGGTAGGTCAGTCAAATATTATCCATATTTTACAGATGAGGCCTCTGAGACAGGGAGATTAAGTGACTCACCCAGGGTCACACAGCAAGTCATTGGCAGAGCAGGGATTGGAACTGAGTTCCTGATTCCCAGTCGTGTCCTTGGTCTGCTTGACCACGCTACCTGTATATAGTAAGTTTTCAAGTCGTGCTCATGACAAGCGTCTGACATACTAACAAAGAGGTCAGAAATCAAAGATGAACTATTAACATGACAGTAGTATGTAAGCACTCTTAACACGAAGCATGTATGCCATTAAGTTGCAGAGGTATACCATAAAGTTACTCAGGAGCTAGAAATCTGGTAGACTGCAGAGTAAGGTACTACTAAAAATATCTGAGGAAACAGACAACAGAAGGCTGGCCAAGCAGAAGGGAATATGACCCACCAGGGGTCACAGGCCAGGGAGGCCACACAGGTAGGTCGGGGTACTCCTCCCAAGCAGGTCTGCTCTAACACCATGAGCAAGGGATTTTCAGAGAAAAGTTTTGCTTTGGAGAGCTGAAAAGCATGACTTAACAGTTCTAATAGTAAATTTATTCCATCAAAACTAGAAAGTACTACAGCAACCAAAGTACAGATGCAAAAAAGTAAAACTGTTTGTTTCACATTAAAGTATGTCTTTAGAGCCTCCTAAAAAGAGACTTATGAAACCAAATTATCTGGCCTAGTAATAGAAAATATTCCCATATTTAATGTATTTTAAGGAGACTCCAACTTAAGGCTAATCAGGTTGTTTCTCTTGGCTCCTTGGTCAAATAGTTTATAGCTTTTATCTTGGAAGAACGTAATTACAATCATGTGTATCAGCCACTGAGTGTAAAAATCATTACACATACTTTGGAAGAGGGCAGTCGTCTGTATCTGTTCCTTTTAAATTATGCAGTTAGAATTTCTCTTGGTACAAAGCGAAATTCATGACTGAATGCTTTAATGTATAGAGTGGGCGCTTATAATGAGGTAGGGCTTTAGCTAGTATGTTACTTCACAAATGACTTCTAAAAGTTGTTTAAAGAAATCAGAATAAAACTTTTCTGATATCTGTCCACCTGCCAGTGTATCTTTTTAATAGTCATTGCCATTACATATAGAGATTTTTGTTTCTGACCTGACGTCCTTTAATTTTTTTTCTCCATGATTTTTCATGCAGAACAAAGTATATTCAAAGTATTTAGTACAATAATAGAAGAAAATTTCATTGACAAACATCCAGTTTGCTTGCAGCTCTGGAAATTCAACATTTAGATTGAAAGAAGAAAATAAAGTCCTTCTCAGAATATATAGCTGAGTGCCTCCATATTAAAGCAATAGGAGCTAAGTAAATGTTGTTATATAAAGAAAATATATTACTGGAAGAATGACTTTTCTTTTATCAGAAATAGTATGTTCTTGGGATTTGCATACACTTCTTATAAATCATGATCTTACAATCTAAATTCAGCTAGTAGTTAAAATTGTTTCACCATCTCATTTCCAGATTTATTTTCACATTAATCAGGAAGCAGATATTCTAGCTTATAATTTCTATCAAAATAAAACTAGATATAAAGTTCCATACGAAACAGTACACAGTGCCCTATTTGCTAGCCTATGAAAAGTTCTGTATCCCTCACAAGACTTTGCTAAGAATATTGATTGATTGACCTTGGTGGCTTTATTTTGTTCAACAGGTAATGTATGTGGAAGGAACCGCAGTTGTTATGGGTTTTGAAGATCCCATGCTACAGACAGATGACACTCCTATTAAACGCTGTCTCCAAACCAAATGGCCATACATTGAATTACTCTGGACCACAGATCGGTCTCCTTCACTAAACTGATTTGCCGAAGTATTTATAGGATTGTAATAGCAGATGTTGAAAGAGGGGTGAAAGACTGGCGATTGGCTCAATTAAGCTATACACTGGTATCATTGATTAACTGTAAATAACAATTGAAAACACATTTTCAGTGTTTAAGATATGTTTAAATTATTTGTTTTAAAGCTTTAAGTTAAAGGTTACCCTATTTAAACTCTTTATGTGAAATTTACTAGCAAAACTAAGCTGTAATCAAAGTTTATCACTGTTGCAGTCAGATAATTTGGTCATTTATCAAGCATCGTATTATAACATTCTAATATTGAGTATCAGTTACTATTTATAAACTTCTACTTTGGGGTTTTATTTCATTCAGGCACAGTTTGCTTAAATGATTCTGGCATGCAGCATATCAGCCTCCACACTGAAACGCAAGAGTTTATCTTTGTTATTTTCTAAAATCTGGTTTCCATTAGAAACATTGATTGATAAATAACAAATTGTCAACCTGGACCTTTGACAGTTGGCTTAGCTCTGGCATGTTTATGAAAAGTAGAAGCTATAAGGGAACATTACCATTTATTCACAGACATATAGAGTGAAGGAGAATCTGATAGTCTTAAGACTGTCAGCTTTCACCGTATTGCCAAATACACTTCTCCAAATTTGTCCCAACAGCCCTGTAAGCCAGCTTTCTTGTATATTTTAAATGTGATAAATGCATGAGAACATCTGTTATTACATTAGTATATTGCATTATTTATTATGATCCTAGTGGATGGCCTAAATAAACACTTTTTTTTCTTCAGCCATATCCTTGATTTTTCACATTCATGGCTCAAAATAAATACTTTTAAATGATTCTGCCCAGTAACCCTGAGAGCACAGCATAGAACAGACGCCTACCAGATGCACACGACCCCTCGACAGGACACCAAACCTTACGCTTACCTAGGACTTCTGTAACTCAGACAGCCAGGAGCACCAGAACCTGACGGGCAGCTGTCTGCATCAGTGGACAAAGTTGCAGAAGCCCCACCCTGTTCATTTCTGAGAGAGATTTACTATATGTTGATAGGCTTGTTGCCCAGCAATTTGAGATGTGAATAGCCAGAAAATACTTTCTTTCCTTCACTTGAGAAGCCAACAAGATATCCTCTTAGGAATTTTAGAACTGAACTTTACCTTCAACAAACAGTATAGTTGAATATGTATTTCCTCTCTAAGTCTCTTGGGGGTTTTATTTATATTTTTATAGACATTAACAATTACAATGATTAGATTTTAGCATAGGAAAAAAGTAGCCAAAATTTTATATATAACTAACAACTTTTGGTAGCACTGTGTTCAGGAGTGTGATACTAGCTACTACAGTTACAGCTGTAAAGTGTATTTTTGGTACATCTTGCCTATTACCAAATGGCTGTAAAACACATTATACTAGAATTAATCTCTAACTCTGGTCCTAAATTCCATAAGGATTATGAAAAAGCATAGATTCTTCTCAAACACTGAGCCTACAGGGTAGTCATTTCTCCTTACAGTTGCTTCATAACAAACCATCCCAAAATTCCACAACATAATCATTTTACAAAGCCTGTGGCTCAGGAGTTTGAACAGAATACAGTGGGCACGGCTTATCTGCCTCTCAATCTGGAGGCCCAGCTGGGAAACTGTAGGTTTCTTAACTCATATGACTGGCATGACTGGGACCTTAGCTTGATCTAACTGACAACTGTCAAACACAACATCAGACAAACAACTGCAGATACATTTTCTTTTCACGTCCAAGTGGGACACTTACCAAAACAGACTATATGCTGGACCATAAAACAAACTTAGAAAATCCCCAAAAGTCTGGAAATTAAGCAGCACACTTCTGAATAACCCAAGGGTCAAAGTGGAATTGCACTGGGAATTAGAACATATTTTTTTACTGAATGATAATGAAAATAGTACATAGTAAAAATTGTGGAATGTAAATAAAGCAGTGCTTAGAGGGAAATGTATAACTTTAAATAAATACGGTAGAAAAATAGAAAGTTTGGAAATTAGAAAAATAAGCTTTCATCTCAAAAACAAAACAAAGTAAATAATGAGATAAAAAGAGATACTGACGTGCAAAACAAATTGGACTTTACACACCATCTGTAAAAGTTAACTTAAAATGATCAGAGATCTAATTGTAAGAGCTAAAACTATAAAAGAAAAAACAATCCTCATCATCAAATCCGCCTAATGGGTTAGACGGTGGTTTCTTAGAGTACCAAAAACAACAGCAGCAGCAAAGATAAATTGAACTTCATCAAAATTAAAACCTTTGTCTATCAAAAGGTCACCATCAAGAAGGTGAGATGACAACCCACAGAATGGGAGAAAATACTTGAAAACCATACCTCATAAGGAATTTGTATCCAGAATATATAAAGAAATCTTATAAAATTAAAAATATTTTTAAATGGGCAAATGATTTGAAGAGAGATATCTCCAAAGATCCTACACAAATGGCCAGTAAACACATGAAAACATGCTTAACAAAATTAGTCATTAGGGAAATCAAACTAAAAACCATGAGATACAACTTCACCTACCCTAGGATGTCTAAAATCAGAAAGCTAGATAGTAACGAGTGTTGGCAAAGATGTGGAGGAAATGGAAATCTTAAATTGTTGGTGGGGATATAAAATAGTGAAGTCACTTTAGAAAAACAGTAGTGCAGTTCTTCAGAAAGTTAAATCAAGGGGGAGCATATGACCCAGCATTTCCACTCCTAGGGATACACCCAAGAGAAGCAAAACATATATACACACAACATTTTTTCTTTAAATATTTATAGTGGTATTCATCCTAGCCAAAAATGGAAACGACCTAAATGTCCATTAACCAATGGGTGGATAAATAAATGTACTATATACATACAATGAAAAATTATTTGAAAATTAAGAAGAATTACTGATATGTGCAACCACACAGATGAACTTGGAACACACGCTAAGAGAAAGAAGCCTGTTGCAAAAGACCACACATTATGATTCCATTTATGTGAACTGTCCAGAATAGGCAAACCATAGAGACAGAAAAGGGATTAGCAGTCACAAGAGCCTAGGATGGGGACAGAGTGGAGGCACAGAATTGGGAAATGATTGCCAATGTATAGGGGTTTCTTTTGGGGTGATAAGAATGTTCTAGAATAGATGTGATGGTTACACAACAGAACATACTAAAAAACACTGAATTGTAAGAATAAAAGATAAAACACGAAACCCATGAAATAGCAGATATGTAATATGAAAAACGTCAGTAACACCAGAAGTTAGTTCTCTGGGGGGAGGGGGGAAACTAATAAAAAAGGATAAAAACACCTAACAAAATTGATCAAGAACAAAATGAGAAATAAATTATTAACACCAAAAAAGAAAAGGGAAACATTGCTTTAAATTCTCCAGATATTAAAAAGACGGGAGTTAAGAGTACATTCAAACTTAAGTTGTTATTATCTTAAAAGAGACATAAATTTAAACCTCATGGTAACAACAAAGCAAAAACCTGTAATAGATAGATACACAAAAGATAACGAGAAAGGAATCTAGGCATATCACTACAGAAGATCATCACAACACATATGAAGAGATCAAGAGAAGAAGAAAAAAACGAGGAATTACAAAACAGCCAGAAAACAATGAACAAAATGGCAGTAAGTACATACCTATCAATAATTACCTAAAATGTAAATGGACTAAGTTCTCCAATCAGAATACATATCATGGCTGAATAGGTATAAAAACAAACAAAAAACAAGACCCATCTATGTGCTGCCTGCAACAGACTCACTTCAGTTGTAAGGACACACTCAAAAGTGAAGGGATGTAAAATGATACTCTGCACAAATGGAAAACAAGAAAAAGCCTGGGGTAACTAAACGTTAATCAGGTAAAACTGGCTCCCAGACAAAGACTGTAATAAGAGACAAAAGGTAATTATAAAATGATAAGTCAATCCAACAAGAGGATGTAACATGTAAATTACACACAGCATAGGAGCACCTAAATATATAAAGCAAATATTAACAGCCCTAAAGGGAGAAGTAGACATCAGTATAACAATAGTAGGGGACTTTAATAATACACTTTAATAAATGGATACCACATCCAGACATAAAGTCAAAAAGGAAACACTGGACTTAAACTGCATGTTAGACCAGATGGACTTAACATACACAGAACATTCCATCCAAAAGCAACAGGATACACATTTTTCTCCAGCTAACATGAAACATTTTCCAGGATATATGATGTTAGGCCACAAAACAAGTCTTAACAAATTTAGGAAGACTGAAATCATATTGAACATTGTTTCTGACCACAGTGGTATGAAACTAGAAATTACAAGAAGAAAACTGGAAAATTCACAAATATGTGGATATTAAACAGCATGCTACTGAACAACCGATGAGTCAAAGAAGAATACAAAAGAGAAATCAAAAATTAAGACAAGTGAAAATGGAAATACAACATACAAAAACTTATGGGACACCAGAAGCAGTTCTAAGAGGGAAGTTCATACTGATAAATGCCTATGTAAAGAAACAAAGATCTCAAATAAACGACCTAACTTTACACCTCGAAGACACTAAAAAACAAATGAATCCCAAGTTTGTGGAAGGAAGGAAATAACAGATCAGGCAGAAATAAAATAGACTAAAAAGACAATTAGAAGATCATTGAAACTAAGCTAGTTTTTGAAGATACACAAAATTGACAACATTTGGCTAGACTCGCCCAGAAAAAGAGAACTCAAACATCAGAAATGAGAGCAGAAGCAAGAAGACCTATAGTCCTGCAGCCTGTGGAACAAAAACCACATT